CTTTAATGTTCGTAACTGAGCATGCTTATTATCGTGACACATATTTTGGTACCTCTGCGCATCCTATCGGGGTTATGATGGACAAGCAATGCTATTTCTAACAGACAGGCCATTTGTAAACATATTGTTATTTCTATGTGTTTACAAAATAACAGACCTGTCAAAAACAACACAAGTTGTCAATCATAAACCCCTTTATCTTTTCAGAAAACTTATTTCTGATCATTTCCAAAACTGGACATTCGTTATCGTCACAGACTTCAGCCGTCAAACATCATTAACTCATCCAGGACCATCGAGACAGAATGAAGTAGAGACGACATAAACACTTTTTTTTTGCCTTATGAACGCACTTCGAGTAATGGAAAAGTGTAATAAAAATGACGACTTAAGAGTCGTACGTTGATTTATTTGAATTCAATAATTTTATGTTTGAAGATTGACGAAACGAAAATGTTTTTATATCACTTAATTGAAGTTATTTTACAAAAAGGCATTTATTCTCACCAACAGTGACTAGTATCGTGATAGTATCTCCTCTTCGTTCCATCTCAACATCCAAATAGTTCGAAGGGAGTTTTCCCTGTAGTGGAATTAACCATAAAATTAATTCCCCATTTTACATCTGCTACAGCTTCGTCTAATAATTTTCATTAGTTGAAGCTATAACTGTTCACTCGTTCTACTTGGCCGTAAGCTCGATGAGTCGAAATAGTACATACTACATGTTTAACACCTAAAGTCAAACATACCTGTTTAACACCTAAAGTTAAGTACACTTGTTTAACATCTAAAGTTAAATATATCTGTTTAACACCTAAAGTTAAACACACTTATTTAATACATAAAAACACACTTGTTTAACACCTAAAGTTAAACAGTATTCCTTAAAATTCTTGCTCGTAAAATCAGTGTCACGGTTGCAATAAACCTGCAGGAACACCGAACATTTTAAATTCATCTATAAATTTCAGTTTTGTATTTTTGTATCACTTTTAAAAATACAAATTTCGTTAAGCCGTTAACTGCTATGATGAGATATGAGTTTTCCCAATACTCTTATACAAATTTCTTAAAGCTGGTAATCGATATGATCAGATACAAGTTTTCCTAACACTTTTATACAAATTTCCTAAGCCGTTAATTGATATGATGAGATACGAGTTTTCCTAACACTTATACAAATTTAGTAAAGTCGTCAACTGCTAAATGACCTATCATGAGGGTGGTGCAACATTAAAATTATTAGTCGTGCTGTTTTTGGGATAAACCATCTCTTTCCTTTTGCTGTTTTTTGAAAGTCGTCTATTCTTTATACAATACTCTTTATAAATGTGTCGTTCGTCTTTCGTAATTTATCTCTAGGATCTCGTGACAAAACATTCATAATATTGTTACAAGCGTTGTCTTGAAGTTGTGCTTAAAGTATCCGGAGAGCCTCCTTAATATTTACAATCATTACGTCAAGTGATTGATCCGTGGGTATAATAGTACTTCGGCTCAGAAAGTCTACGTGGCTGATCTTAGTGCCAACATGGTATTCAATACCAAAATCGAATTCTTGAATTGATAGCCACTATCTTACAATGCGGAGAATTAGGTCTCGTTTCATACGGGTGTTACGAAGTAAGTTACAATCGGTGACGATTTTAAACTTTATGCCACTTAAATATATACTGAACTTTTTAAACGAGCATACAGTCATCAAAGTTTCAAGCTCATGAATGATATTTTTGCTCTTCTTTAGTTGTGACTCTACTAAAATATTATACTAGCCTAAAGTGCTGTCATTTTAACGTTATAGAAGTATTCCTACTGGTCCGACGTTACTGATGTCACAATGTTTTTTTAGTTTTCACTTATCTGTTATAAATAGCATGTATGGATCGTCCTACTAGCTTCTTTATTTTTAAAATCGCTGAATTTCTTTGACATCCTTAGGTGCTGCAAAATCTGCTATAGTGTGCTTGGTGTGTCGACTTCCATTCCGATTTGGGCGTCCTTTGCGGTCATCCTGCCTCTTCTTAGAGGTCTTTCGTCCTCCTCTCCGTCATGGGTCTTCATCCTCTATCCACCGGTCTTCATCATCCAATCCGTTGTGGGTCTAAATATTTTGTTCCTAATCCTTTGTAAATACAGCAGGAGCATCAAAAGTCATACAGTATGAATCGTACATTACAGGTTCCCTATCGTTTAGTATGATCGACATTTCCGTAACAGTCATTTTAGCAACCTTTCGTAAATTAGTAGCGAAACAATCGCCACACTCGTTAAGTAATTTAAGTAATTTAAAATGTTCAATTCTATTTAATACTGAATTAGTTTGTTCCTCAAGATCAAATAACGTAAAATTTGGTAATACAGCAATATCTGTTGCTTATCAAGTTTTAAAAGGTAACTATCTTCGAAACTCTGGTACAGGTATAACCTCTAGCAAGTATTCTGTCTTTTTCATAACAAACAGATTTATCGGACATATTGGCAACATGAATACAGTAACAATTACGTTAATAACACATGGTAAAATAATATGAAAATTGTTATCCTAATTTGTATATCCTAAATCAACAAAAACATCTTAGATCTACAAACATATCTTAGATCAACAAAAACGTATTAGATCAACAAAAATATCTTAGATCAACAAAAACACCCTTAACGTTTTCATTTTTAATTGGAGAAATATCACCTACAAAATTCTGCGGAATAATAGTAGTTTCTTCTACACATAAATTAATTTTCTTAGACAAAAACTCGTTAATATGTGTAATGTTGACGTTATTTTAAAATAAAATATGTCATACTTGGTTGCATCTAACGAAAACTGTAACCATATCATTATTAAAAAAATGGCTAACCTACAATAACAGGGACATCCTGTATATTAACCGGTACGTCATCGGTAGCTGTAGCTAAATCAACATTCAAAGTTGTCGTAATCTTTGAAAGTACTATAACAAAATCTCCCGCATAACCACACAAACGTAATAATGTGGGCTGACCCTGTAGATGCAACTTGACTGCATCCGATTCACGAATGTAACTGCATCACAACCCGAGTCTACAAAGCCTCGTATATATTCACCGTTAATAACACAATCAATAAAATAGCAAGTAGTAGACGCCTGATTATTAGATAAAATTAAAATTGGTTTCGACTCACCCTTATTTTGTCATCAGCTGGTCTTTTACTTACATTTATGCACAACGTCCTGTTTCGTGTCCTAACAGATATATGTGCATTCAACGAGTGGTTTCGGACACTTTGACTGAAAATTACATTTATTTTTACATTTATCATACTTTTAAAACATCAGGATTTGTATACGGTTTAGTACTTCGTGTATTCGAAAGTGAATAACCTAACTCCACTTTCAGGAACGGCTTTATCAAACCCTCTGTTTTTTTTGAGTCGATACTTCAATGATACTTTCCTTACGTAGCATTGGCAGGTATCCTTCAAACAATGCCTCTGGTTTTTCGTAACGACCAGCGCGAGCAGAATTGTGGATGGTTACTTATGATTTCGTCTTAATATTACTGTTTCAAACTGTCTAATTCTAGCTTCATATGTAACACTTGCACTTTTTGACTGGAACAGGAATATAAGCCATGAGATGCACTTTGTACTATATTTTCTCGCGATATACTTAACTATCGCTTCTTTTTACGACCCCCTTCGTTAAAGAGTGACCTTGTCACTATTGTCTCGTCTCGTTGGAATATAATTACGTTCAGATCGTACATCTACAGAGTCTAAAATCTTTGCTCATTGTTCTTAACACGATCAAAATACCAAGTTCTTAACACTATCTTAACACGAATCACTGAATAACTTAACTAATGGTATCCGTTTTAGTTACGTAACAACTTAAGTTTCTGCACGATCGTAAAGTATTTCACTTACGCCACGTACGTTTTTCTATAACAAAGGTAAGCAGTTAGTTCACCCCACACCTGAACTGTAAACTATGTTAATTAATTTTAAATGAAATAAATCTGATTTTAATATAGAATCGAATTTAATCGGTGTTAAGAATAATAATACATAAATGAAACGTATCGAATGAATGCCTATCAAAGAATGCCGTGCTAATCACCAAATATTCTTATGTGTCCCAGTTCGACGTATCGTTCTACGAAATATGAGTAGCACTCGTGAATCATGACAGGGTGGTCCTAGCCTAGCGATAAACGAAACATCCGAGTGGTTACACAATTTGTTAGCTAAGTATCTTAAGTCTATTAATATAACAATTTAGAAATCAATGAAAATCTACCTTATGATAATTTAATTTGGGCCTTGGGGTCTGCAACATTCTCTAATTTTACACAAAAACCTAATCGCTTGACTACCGTGTAATGTTTTTTTTTTTAATTCTGGGATTTTATTATCAAGCCATTCTAAAAATGAAACAAAATACAGGGTGTTTTATTTAAAAAATATATATTTTTATTTGCCAGACTATAATTTTTAACATGTGTATTTTTCCAATCCATATGACTTTTATTGAAACGTATTTGCGTGTTTATAACACGAAACATTAAACAATTACGCACTGAAGGAATATCCTGTATATTAAATTAATTAATTAAACATGTAAATGAGCAAGAAATATATGCTACGTATTTTTTACAAAAGTGTTTATTTTACAAAATTTTTTGTCCGTGATATAAAAATGTGTCGTCAGTTCTCGCGATATATCTCGTTTATGGCCTGTGGAAAAAGGTATCTACATGCGAGATATCTCATCAGTTGCCTTTGAATAAAGTTATTATTATACGAGATATCTCGTCGGTAGCCTTTGAATAAAGTTATGCGATATATCTCGTTACTGCCATTGTATGTTTAATATGTTTTACTTGTATATTATTATCTTGAACTCATAAGATATAGCCTAGTATAAGTTTTTAAATTTTAATTATTATAAAAAAAAGTATAAGGGCGACCCTCAAAAAATCTAAATAAATCGATCTTTCATCTGTCATCTTTCTCTTACCTTGAATTTCTTCTAATGAGCATTGTGTTCCACCATAATTGGAGGGTAGATACTCTTTGGGAATATATTCGTGAAGTGACTCAATATTTTGATGAGTCCGGACCTATAAAGAAATTGAAAAGAATATGAAAAAATCTGATTAGATTCCATTAAAGACTACAAAAAATTAGGGTAACACGCATTTTGTTTTTATTTATAATAAGAACAAAAACAGCACGAAGTATCCTCGCTACAACAAAGGTATTAGGTAGAAAAGCATTACCTATAGGCCCCTATATACGAGCATGCTGCATTTCAAAATCCCTCCGTCAATGTTGAAAAATAAATGTATAGGCATTGCTGAATATCTAGACGTCCCAAACTTCCAGCGAACTCTGATTGCAACATAGATAAAATATTATGTGAAATAAACCGTTTAAATGCACGCCACTGGTAATAAGTGTTAGCTCCTCAGCAAACTATTTGGAACCACCATCGCATTAAGAAGAAAGCGATGTTGCTAGTTTCCATAAATGTCAAGCTAGATACCATCCGTACAATGGCATACTATTGCATACTATTTCATACTATTAAGTCGAAGCATTAAAGTTAAAAATTTCGGAATTTGTTAGACTAAGACGGATCGGAATACGGTATTTTTTATTCGCTTCCCAAAATTTTTTGGAAAAAATGTCCCTATACAAACCGGAAATTGCATTGCTGCAGCCAAAAATGCATTTATTGAGACGGCTTTTGGAAGATTAAAGAACTTTGTAAACAAGAGTCAGAACTGGCCCAAATCAGGGGGTTTTTGAGGTCGCTCATTACAATTATGATGTTCAAATTGACCTACAGCCGACCTCGAGCTTAGGAACACCGATGAACGTCATATCCGTGGGACTCTCCCAAAATTCACGCAAGGAAAGAGATAAACTCGACACCCGGGATTTTTTGGGTCGCTGAATTCAAATATGGTATCGACGAATACCCCCCGGACACCTGGTGTACCGAAAGCTAGACGTGTACGTCATCCCCGATAATTTTCCTGACAAAAACAACCCGAAAAACATTGTGAGGGCGTTTTTTCGGGCGCTTAATCCAAATTTCAAGTCAAAAACGATACCCCGAACACCTAGTGCACCGGAATCTAGCCCTTAACGTCGTCTCTAAGAATTTTCCTCACACAGTCAAAGAGGACGAACCCAAAATCGTTATGGTGGGTTTTTTCGACAGCTGAATCCGAATTTCTGGTGGAAAACGACCCTCCCAACACCTAGTGCACCGGAACCTCGGCTGAACGTCTTTTCCGAGGGTTTTCCAGACACGATCACAAAAGTCTTACCGAAAATCGTCTTATGATTTCACAAATTTATTGATGTGTAACTCTCCCTAGAGTCCTCGAAAAAGTTGATCCAGTCCTGTAAAATTCTAAATGCCGGGTTTGAATAGAGCTAGGAGAATTACGAGAATAATTTCCGGCTAGATCTCCGAACTTTCCTGAGCGGTCTTTCACTTTTCTCCCAACGCTCGAGACGCTTTTGTGTAAGTATATACAGAAACTTTCTCCAGGCCCCACTCACCAACGTCCAGGTTCGGGCGCACCAGGTATCCTGAAGGTGTTCGACGATTCCATATTTGAATTTGGCGACCCAAAAAACTTCCGAGCGCCGAGTTTCTCTCCTTCCACGCGGAGATGACTTTCAGGGCCAGGTTCCGGTGCACTAGGTATTGGTGGGGTCGTTTTCGACGAGAAATTCAAATTCAGCGCCCCAAAAAAAAAACCTTTAACGATTTTTGGTTTGTTTTTATCGATTTTGTGAGGAAAACCCATAGAGATGAGGTCCGTGCCCAGGCTCCAGTGCACCAGATGTTCAGGGTATCGTTTTAGATGTGAAATATGGATTAGGCGCCAAAAAACGCTCCTACAATAATTTTCAGGTGTTTTTAACGATCTTGTCAGAAAAATTCTCAGGGATAACGTCTACGTCCAGGTTCGGGCGCCTCGGGTGTCAGGGGGGTATTCGCCGATGCCACATTTTTATTTAGCACCCCAAAGAACCCCCATAACGATTTTCGGTTCGTCTTTTTCGATTGTGTGAGAAAACTCACGGAGATGAGGTCCGCGTCTAGGTTCCGGTGCACCAGCTGTTTACGGGGTCGTTTTCGACGTGAAATTTGGATTCAGTGCTCTAAGAAGCACCCATATAATTATTCTAGGATTGTTTTTGGCGATCTTGTCAGAAACATTATCAGGGATGACGTTCAAGTTCAGGTTCTGGTATACTAGGTGTTCGGAGATATTTGCCGATGTTATATTTGAATTTAGCGACCCAAAAAACCACAGGTGCTGAGTTTCTCTCCTTTCCCGCGTGAATTTTGGAAGAGTCCCACAAAGATGACGTTCATCGGTGATCCTGCTCCAGGTAGACTGTGGGTTAATTTGAAGAACATATTCGTGATCAGCGACCTCGAAAACCCCGAGAACTTGATTTGGGCCAGTTCTGACTTTTATTTACAGTTA